GGTGGGCTGTGGGGACAGAGAAGCCCTCAGGCAAAGGCAGGCAGCACCAGCGGCTGGAGTAGGTGGGACACCGGCAGTGCCAATGTGAGAGGGGCAGGAAGAAGCAGTCAGCACCATCTACTGCACTAGCAAGTTCAAGAGGCCCTTAAACATTCCGTCTCCTCCAGCGATGGGAGTGAATAGTGAGGGCCCTCACCCTGGCTTCACTTGTCCCATCAGAAGAGGCGTCCAGCGCATGCCTCTGGTCTCCCGCTTGTGCCAAAGCAGGAGTCAAGGCTGGAAAGAGATGCGAGCTCCTGACAGGAATGCCTCCTCACCGCGCTGGCCTCTCGAGGATCTGCCTGTCAATTACAGAAAGATCTGCAAGATTCCGTTCTCCTCCATTATCTTCCACCGGGGTCTCCAGTGGCAACTCTGCAACCGTTTTCTGCAGAGTGGTTCAAATTGTTTTATATCTTCTTAGCTGCCAAGTACAATGTCATAAGCAATAAATAAATAAATTGTTGGCCTATGTGGAAAGCATATTTTGTCCAGATGCGTCCTTGAAACTTCAGCCCTGAAACATGAAAGTCAGATTGAAAACCACATTCTCAAACCTTGGGGAAAGGAGGCTTACATGGAAAAGGCTTTTGATTGACAGGTGCTGCCACCCAGCACCCGATATGTGTCCTGCATACAGGCCAGGCAGTGCACCTTGTGAAAACCCAAGCATGTGACTTTTCACACCGGTGTGTGAGCTTCGTGTGGGTGGTTCAGCTGGACAGGCTGGGGGCAGAGGGAGAATTGCGCCTAGAGGGCTACTCAGCCCAGGGGCTGAGACCTGTGTGATCTCTTATTGACCAGTGGTTGTAGCAACCCTTCCTCATCTCAGTATGGGAGCCTCATCTGAGTGCATACAGTTCCCAGATACTCTGTCCTTTCTGCATACAGGGGTGAGGCCACGGGGGTAGATAGCCAGGAGGAGGAGGGAGACCTGATGGCTGAGAATCACACAGGAGGATGCTCTGTGTGTTTTGGCTGGTTTAGCCAGCCCCGAGGCCCTGAGACAGAGTTGGCATTCCAAGATAGAAGCTGGAGCAAGTGGGCAGATGAGTCAGGAAGGCAAATGTGGCCTCCATGGCAGGAATCACCACATGGAGATCACCAGTGGTGACTCAGGCTGCCAGTGTCAGTTGGCTGGGAGTGCTGGGAAATGTCATTTTTAAAGTAAAAATACATGCTGATAAAAAGACAGACTAGAGGTACATGAAGTGAAAGTGAAAAGTGTAAGTTCCCTCCTCAGTACCCCCCAAATCCTCCCCCTCTGTCCTTCTAGATATTTTGTTTTTTACAAGAAATGAGCTTGTACTATTTAAAGTATTCCTCTTTTGCACTTCATGAATTGTGGACATCTTTCTACACCAGTACAATCTTGGTCATTGCTTTGTGGTGCTCTTTCGGTAGATTACAACAAATTGTTATCATTTTCAAGGTGACTTCTCACATTGCTCCCCAAATTGCCAACCCATGGTAAGCAATCCAAAATGTTACCAGCTGATTGCTGTAGCATTATTTCTGGTTGAAGTAATATTTCATTATCTTACCTCTTGAATTCAATAGAATGAAAGGGAATAATGGAGGAAGCCATAGAAAATGATTGCAGAAATAGTGATTTTGGATATGTCTATATATCTATGAAATATGTGTGTTTAAAGTGTAATATAATTCAAGAGAGATAATCAGCTGTCTGAGTAAAACTAAAGATGTCACTTCTATACCTGAGTTACTTTTCTTGAATGATTTCCTTTCCCCATCCTCCATGATTTAATTTTAGGCTTGTGTGCATTCTTAGACTGGCAGCCCAGCCAGCAGCTAAGTGGAGACTGCTGCAGGGCCCTACAGACGATTAAGAATATAGGCCGTGGGCTCAGACACCAATCTGGAGTTTTCCAGTATACAGTCTTAGTCAGTGTGCTTAACGGTCTCTGTGGCTTGGCTTCCTCATTCTCGAAGCAAATGGAAACACGTACTTCCTAGGGTCGTTGAGGAGACTAAAGGAGAGGAGGCCTATGAAGCCCTTACCTGGCACTAAGGACTTGCCCAACAAATAGGGGTTGTTTGCCGTCGGAAGAGGAGTGTGATCGCCAGCGACAGCTGATATCTGTCAGGTGTGCACTCCTATGCCTGATGAGATAGGTGAGATGCACACACTATACACATCCCCCCTGAGAGGTGCTCGTTGTCTTCTCCCAGCTAGGTAGTTGAAAAAGCATCATGGAAAGTAAGTGTAAAATAATTTTTAAAGTCAAGCATCAAGGAAAACTATTCCAAAATGCCTCAGAGGTTGTCGCAAGCTATCATCTGTCCTAGACCAGAAACAGAACCTGATTTCCAGTTGGAGATGATAAATAAACATAGTACACTGCCCTTTACAATGAGTGGCTATTTTTTTAACCCATGCAGATGTGTCCTATTTACATTGAAGCTGTCATACAAATTAGCAAAGGCCCACAGACTCTGAAAGAAGGCAGGCTTCAAGCCCTGCAGTGTTCACAGGAGTGGAAACTGCCGCAGCCCACTCCTCGTAGCTGCAGTGTGACTGTCCTGGTAGGCATTACTGGGAAGAGCTGAACTGGAGAGCTTGTCCAGGCCAGCACAAATGTCTGCTGACTAAGCAGGCTTTGAAGCTAACCTGCGAGGCTGGGCGAAATGAAATGCAGGAGGGCTTGGCGCTGCAGTGGTTTTGACTTTTCTGCAATCTGTGAAAAGTCCTAAATCTTGAACAGATATGAAAATCACTTACAAGCTCACACATGGCCGATTGAGTCTGAATTAAGACACCAACTATGGTGCATCGGATGATCTCCTGTTTCTCTTAGTGTAAGATGCTCTGGGCCACATACTTGTTGAGCTACACTTACCAGACGCACCCCTTACCAAACCATATGTATGAGCTTTTGGAGAAGATGGAGGATTGGGCCACCAAGTAAGGGCTAGCAGGGGATTCAGACTCCATATTTCTTCATTCAGTCCATGTGCTAAAGAGATAACAAAGGCTCAGGTTGGTTAAAGGGCTAGCTCAGAGTCCCTCAGCAAGGCCTGAGGCTAGAACCCAGGATTCAAGACTTCCACTAACTGCTCCTTCCACTGGACCACGTGACCTTTCTCTAGGGATATGCACACGGACATGAAGATATAAAACAGTTTAAATGTCAGCTTTAAGCCCCCGTGGCTGACCTTTTGTGGAGAGGCAGCAAAGCCCTGATTGCGTGAATATAGAGACATTTTTTTCTAGAAGAGCAATTCGTTGATTCTCTAAGCACTGGACTTTAGAGAGCCAGGCTCCAGGGAAGGCCGAGGAATGCTACACATAGGTCCCTGCCCTGAAAGCAATGAAGACAGAGTCACATTCGAATTCCTCTGAGAGGCAAGCACAAGGGGCTACAGGAATACAAATAGGGTGGCTTTTCAGTTCTGCCTAGATAATTCAAGGACAGCTTTATCTGACCTGGGTCTTGAAGGGGTAAGCAGGCTTTTTCTTGGCAGAGCATTCATTCATTCATTCATTCATTCATTCATTTAATTGAAATTTACTAAGCACATACATTTTGCCAATCTTTGTGGCAGGTAAACAAGCAGTAAATATAAAGCAGTAAACATACTGTGCCCTCAGGAATTTTACATTCTGTTGGGAGGAATCAGAAATTAAGCAGGTAAATGAATGAATAAATAAGATGATTTTAGATAGCGGTAAATACAAAGAAGCAAATGAGGTGATATGGTGGGAAAGCCCAACAGTGAGGATGCTGCCTCCGATAAGATGGCCTGAAAGGCTGACATGGGGCCGTGAGCCCTGGGCTGAGAGGGAGCCCGCACGAAGAAGAGCAGGGTGGTGGTCATCAGGGAGATGGGGAAATTGGTGGGAGATGAGGTTGGAGAGGCGGGCAGTAGTCGATTTGCACAGGGCCAGTTGTCTAGAATAAGTCGATTGAATATCCTTTTTGGAGCAATAGGGAGCCTTGGGAGGATATTGAGCAGGGGAGTGCCGTGCTATATGAGTGAAGAGGCAGAGAAGCATAAAAATCATCAAGCTGGGGATGAGAGTTACCGTGGTAGATTTGCGGCAACCCAGAATGCTGAGCAATCACCCTGAATTCTACCAAGCCTTTCTTTAGGAACATGAACAGGCAGAACTAAGAGACAACACAATTCTTTTGTTTCTCAATGAAGGAATAGGCTCAGAGAGTCAACACGTGTAGCCAGCTCGGGCAGGGGAAGGGCTGGACAGGAACCAGGACCTGGGATGTCAAACCCTGTGTTTCTCTCCTGCCTACCTTCTCTGCCTCCTTAGCCACATGCATATCTTCCAAAGACATGGATTTAAAATCTGTTCCCCATCAGACATTGCAGAGAAGGCTTTTATGGTTTGTTTTTAGTAGTGTGTTAAAAGGCAGTCACCTTGAATGACTTCTGCTTGACAGAAGTGTCAGCATTGTCACCACCTACTCCGAGGAGCAGCAGCATATGCCAAGGGTGCCCTGGCTCTGTGGGGAAATTAGAAAAGGAGAGAGCTGCTCACCAGAGCTAGGGTTCAGGTTCAGCTGTGCCCTGACTGACGGTATGACCTTGAGAAAGTCTGTTCTTCACTCTGGACCTGCACTCCTTTATGTATGAAATGACAGCATTGGGACATGGGCAGTATTAAAAATTTATTTTGAATAATTTTAAACCAAACTAAGTCAAACAGATTGTTCGTTGCAGGACTTCTCAGAGCCTTTAATGTGCGACCAGACTCCAAGATTCATGTCACAGATGTATTTATGTATGTGGCCCTGGAATGCTTTTGGGGAGGATACCTGATATAGAACTTGTGCTCCTCAGGACGCTCTCAGGAAACTGGTCTGTGAGATAAGCCCGAGGCTCTGAGACTTTGGAGATCAAAGGGAGTCTCTATTCATGTCCTTGCTTGGCCTTATTCATCAGTGGCACAGAGTGACAAGTTGTTCAGTGTCTCGGTGGTGTGTGTCCCCTCCCCTGCCCCACTTTAATCCCTCTCTGCTGCCCCCCTCCAGTGACCCACAAAGGCTGTCTTCTGAGGGAGCATGAGCCCAGTGGGAGCCCTTTGTGTGCTCTAGCCCCTTAAAAGGCCAGTGGCCAGACCACAGCAGCCACATCTCTGACACCTGGGCAGTGGGATAGTGACAGCCTCCTTAGGTTGGCAGGCTCTAGGTCCAATGGTCACTCTTTCGCCCTAGAAACTTTCCCCAGGGACGTTTTCATGTGTTACGTTTTATTTTATTGCTCATGTAGAAGACTTTTCTGCTCACCGACAGCCATGAGAGTTGCCCTGGGAGGCAAGAGCCTGCATGATGAATCTCTGATGCCTTCACGCCTGTCATCATCATTCTAATGTCTGCTATTTATTGAGCACTTACTATGAGCCAGGCAGAGTATAAAGAGATTTACAAACTCATAGTCCCCTTATTGCAGCCCTATGAGGTGTGGACACATTATTATTCCTGCTGCTCAGGTGAAGACACCGAAGCTTGGTCAAGCTTAGTAACTCCCCAAAAGCCTCACAGCTGGAAGTCCCACTCAAGTCTGTCCCCCAAGTCTGTGCATTTGATTTTTGTACTGCATTGATCTATTGCTATTTGAATGAATGGAAGGTGAATGAGTGAATGAATGAATGAATGAACCAATGAACATTGGTTCTCACCCCCAGCTTCTGGAAACTTGCCTGGCCATGGGAGAGAGCAGCCATGCCCCTTGTGAGCCACCAGCTTCTTAGCGATTCACTATCTCTCACTGTCCCGCTGCCCCCTCCATCGGGGTACAAGTGGGCAGTACCGCACTGTGGATGGAGCATGGCAGCTACCTGCCGGCAGCTGCCTGGGACCCCCACCAGCAGCCCACGTCTACTCCATGCACGCACGCAGCAAGGGTGAGGCAGCCTCCACTGGATCTCAGTCAGCTGGGCTGTCAGCCTGTTGACTTTCCTGCTGCCACTGCTGAGTTTCTCACCAAGCGGAGGGCAGCTGTTCTGGGATTGAAACATGAAGAAAGATGGGCTGAGATCAGATAAGCATCCCTTCCCAAGCAGACGTACCTCCCAATTTGCTGGCCTTTGTTATGTTACTAGCAGTAAAGGAATGTTGAAATGGAGCTCTAGCCTTGATCTGAATTATAATCTCCGAAGCTATATTTAAATCTACCTAAAGATATTTCAATTTGCTATCTCTCTTTTTTCCCCCTCTCCTTGGCTCACAGCACACTTATATCCCTGCAGAACACAGAAAGCCTGGACGTATTTCTTAATGTTTTACATTACAGTTGTAAGTCCTTCTTATCCTTTGATAATCATATTTTAACTTTTAGTCAACGTACTTGTGGGTGTGCCTGTGTCTGTGTTGCATATAAGTTCACATTTATACGAACAGCATTAGCTCCTTTTATCTTTTTTTTCCTCCCAAAGCCGTACTTGTAAGACTGCATTCAGCAGCGGATTAATCCCCAAATAACTTAGTTCAGCTTTCACAGCTGCTGCCAAACAGCCTGTCTCCCCGACGGGTGTAGACTGTGTGGTGGTTATAATTAACAAATCTTAGGGGGCAGGGGTTGTACCCAGGGAATGGGAGCTGGGCAGGGAGAGCACCAAATACGAGTGAAAACTGCCAACAGAAGAGCCCATGGAGCACTTTTGTTGGAGGAGGACCTGTTGGGGGTGGAGGGGTTTCCTTCAACAATTGATTAGTGCTGAGCTGAGGAAGCAGATGAGCTGGGACGGCCTCTGTGTGTGTGTGGATGTGTGGGTGTATGTGTGTGTCTTGGGAGAGGGAACATATCTTTCAGGACTCGAGGTTTTAGTATTAGATTTTGTTTGAAGTATATTTGTCACTTATTACCTCTGTGACCTACAGGAAGTTGCTTCTCATTGACCTTGCTGTGTCTCAGTTTCCCTATCTGAAAATGGGGATGCATTTATTATTATTCACCAAATATTGGTTGGGTGCCCATTCTATTCCAGGCACTGCTCTGGGCCCCAGGGATGCGGCAATAAACAAAAAACCAGAAATGCTTGTCCTTATGGAATTTCTAGTCTACCAGGGGAAAACAAAACTTACAGGGAGAGTTATTATAAAGATTAAAATAAGTGGTGCATACAAAATGTCTAGTACACTGCCTGGCACATAATAAGATTTTGGTTTAAAAGAGCAAATATTAATATGATTATTTTTTAGGTTATACTTATAAAATAGCAATCTCCCTCTCCCCCCATAAAACAAGTCATGAGTCTAAATGCCTCTAGTATCAACTTAATAAAATCTTGCTTCTTTTGAAACATTTGCTACTTCATTTTGTAAGTGATGTATGATATATATTCACTGTATTTTTCTTTGGGACGTTAACACAAGAGTACTTCTGAAAAAGATGGTCTGTATATGTTTTGCTAGCTTAGTCAAAACAGCCCATCTTTGCACCAGACATCTTGAAGGATAACGATGCTTCTTGAATGGACTTTATAGCAAAGGAAGATCAGCTCTCAGGTGACAGCTCAGACATCACAAACTGGAACAATGCAGAAAGGAATGCATGAAGGAGTTGGATTAAGAATTGCAGGGCAATTACTTTCTGCAAACTGATACGCAAGGAAGAAACACAGGCACACCTTATTATTTGAAAACACAGTAAGCAAAAATGCACTATTACAGAATTGCAGAATCCCCTATGTAAAAATGAGGTGTTTTAAAATAAAGGAGGGGGGTTGCGAAATTTGTTTGGAATATGGGCCTCATTTTCCACTAGAGTTCACGGACTGAGCCTCAAGTGTATGTAACATATATTTGCCTGAAAAATATTCTTCCCCCCTCACCAACCACTACACACAACTATGGGAAAACGCATTGAGGGCCATCATGTCCCTGTACCAACCCGGTACCAGTTTGTGCTATTTTATAGGGGTTCCCCTTATCCAAAAATTCACTATCACAGGCTAGCCTTTCAAATGTGGCAGGAACGCCAAAGTTGTCATAACATTAAAACACTCACTAGTTCATTGACCACCAATCAGATTCATCTCACGTAGACATCTTCCCCATTTAATGCCGGGCCTCCCACTATGTTGAGAGTCAACTCTTTGTGCATCTGTCTTTTCTGGATTATCCAGTATCCAGAAATACAGTGAATATATACCATACATCACTTACAAAATGAAGTAGCAAATGTTTCAAAAGATGCAAGATTTTATCAAGTTGATGTTAGAAATCGAGTTTGTGTCACATGCAAATTCATTAACAAATGAAGATAACTTGTTATCAATTAAAAAGAGAAAAGTCAATAAGCATGATAACAGCTCAGAGGCTTCAAAGTCAATGATTGGATGTTCTAAGCTTATAACAAATCCTAGGGAAAATGGTGAAAGTCTTAAATATTTTTGCAAATGGCACGCTCTTAGTGACTGCACTGCTGAGAGTGAAGGATGTCACATCATGTACTCATGCAACCTGGTGAACAAAAAAATGGGCCAAATAAATCAACATTTGTTTTATTCTTTGTTCTTTATAAGAACTAGTGAGTTGTTGGAATTGTAATCTAAGTATTATTAAAAATAAGATATATATATAATGTATATATTTTATATACACACACACACACATACACACGTATGCATTTTAAAAAATGTTAGTCTCATTTTTAAAGAAGAAGTTCCAAATCTTTTTTCCACTACTTACTATTAAATGTTGGTCCCTGGCAAAGGGGTGCACTTTCCCAGGTCCCAGTTTTCTCCAATAAGAAAAAACTGGTGTATTTGCACAGGGGAGGTTCTTGCTTTAGATGACCACTGTTTATGTGCTCTGGATTAAGGGTAACTCTGGATTGGGGTAGCGGGCAACATGGGAACAAAGTTTCCATCAGTCTAACTACCTCCCTGTCTGCACTGGTAATGCTTAATCTTTTCAAGGCCATGGACCCCTTGGATGGAGAAGATGATAACAGAGGAAGGAGTTTCTCTCTAGAAAATGCACATGCACAAAATAAACTTTAAGGGGTTTATCTACCTTTTGATGTCTCTCCATGGATCATAGATACCAGATCATAGATATAAATAACCTTTGATCTGCATCTGTCTCCCAATCATATATTATTCCCCCCCCCTCTCTCTCTCTCT